CAAACTGCGTTTACGAGTCTACATGTAGTTGCGGACACAAATACATTGGGAGCACGCAAAGGCAGTTGGCAACATGGTTAGCTGAACATATGCCGAAGTGTTTGCTCAGGGCGGAAAAAAAATACCTAGGAGTCCAATCACGAAGCACTTAGTGGATACTGGCCATACAGTTGATCAAAAGAGCGCGTTTAAGGTCGTACTTCGGGCAGCGTCCGGACGTCTCCTACGATTTGCCGAGGCCGCTGCAATACGCAGAGGAAAACAAGAACTCTGTAAGCAGCTGGACCACGTGATAAACCTCGCATTGTCGTGGTAACGATCAATCACCTCAGTCCATCTCACGCCTTCTTCCTCCCACGCGTTATGACCGACTACTGCCCTGTACTTCCCCCCGTCCCACTTTAATTACAATTCACAGGCTTTCACTGTAACCTGAACTGCCTTGCTTTGATAATTACCTGCCCCCTCCTCTACCCCTCACTATGCACCCACATTTTTTGACTTATGTTTCCCATCCTATTTACCTACTAAGGTTCACCCTTCTAATTGGACAGTTTATTTTCTATATTAAAAGGTAATGACCGTTTGCAGATGAATTAGTGGTCATGAAATTTTATGACGTCAATAAATTCTGCTCAACTCGTGATCTTCGCCTTGCCCAGATTAGTAAATTATCGATTAGCATATATTAACTGCTCCCCCCCCTCATCAAGCGTCACCGCCGTACCATCCAACCCTGCCCTGCCCGTCTAGGCATTCGCGCCGTACGGCACGTCGTCGACCAAGTATTCGGATGCACTTATGATTCATACAATAGAAAGTAAATGAAATCGCGGTCGACATTCCGCTTCTTTTTCCGTTCAAAATGCGAATTATCTACTCTATAATGTTTCGTCTATGCGGAACGCAGGCTGTTTTTTGTACCCTGTTCACCTACTAGACGGTGAACAAGTTATCTAGTGAAAGTGGCTGTGCGGATGCCTCAGTAGTCCATTTCTAGGCTCATCATCAATGCGGTCACATAGTGATGATTACGCAGTCACCAATGTAGCCGAATCCAGTTCCCCTCGGCTTTATCGCTCGCGTTTATCCTTCGGAGAAATCTACGACAACTGAGGCACTGCGCGTTTATAAGGTCACTTCTAAACTGTTCTCAGTTCAAGAAGTCCAGCTAGGCGAACGAACGTTTTCGATTAATTCATCATCAGGCGTGTACAATAATAT